TCTCTCCATAAGTTTTGTTTCAAGGAGTTGTGTAAGAGTTATGACACTTCAGAGTTATCTTGGTCTCACTCATTGTAATGACTGCAAAGGAGATAATGATAACTCTTAGTAAAACTTTTCCTCAACCGAAATCAGTGTTTTCATTACTTACTTATTGCTGTGATTCGTTTTTTTTCATCAAATGTGTTGTCTTCTTGTACCAGTCTTTGTTTGTGACGTGTGGTGACAACCGCCCAATTTTAAATAAGGGAATTCATTCAAATAAAATAATTTTATTTGCATATAAGTGTTTTTACTAAGCTTAATTATATTTGAATAAATATACTTGTAATGATCAAAGGGAATTATTTTTGAGTTTTGTGATTTTGTGTTAAACAATAGATATTTTCAAAAAAGTTACCACTTAAAAACTACCCCCCCCCCCAAATGCCTCATGAAAAACCACTAAAGAGCTCCCAATAAAACTAAATTTTGGGGGAAAACTCTTAATGGTAATAATGACAACCATGAATGTAAATCTGAACACAGCTGCTCATTCATATAATAATTGTAATAATTATAATTAATTACAACAATGGCAGTAACAACAATAATAAATTGTTCTTGTATCATTTTAACATGAATGTGAAAGCTGGGCCCTCATGACATTTTGTAGTTAACACTGACATTCACATTTATATTTACATTCATTATTCTGAATGGTGATTGTAGGTTTTTGTGTTTGTTATGTTTATGTTTCATTATGCAAGAGTTTTTAGAATGGCAATAAACTTGCAGTAAACTTGCTTTCAGATTAGCATGCAAAAAGCTGTATGCCAAGTTGAGAAATGGGAATAAAGCTCCAAATTATATGTCAGCCACAGAAACAAAATTAAATAAAACATTAATGGGAATGCTATAACAGAGCAAAAAGTTCTAATAGTATTATCAAATTTTATAGCAAGTAGTAAGTTTTACATATTTGGAAAATAGAATATCATCAACAAACAAAAATGTGGCAAGAAAACTAAGAAAATCCATTAGGATTGACATATAGATTATAAGACATTCATAAAACAGGAGTCCAATACCAAAAATTAGTGGTGCTTTAGAATAGCACATATTTTCTCGTACTAGTTTGTTTTCTAATTTCTTTGGTCTGAACTAGCTTTTCCATCTAGCCCCATTCTCTTGCTAGCTGTTATTAATCGCATCCCTAAATATATTTTCTATTTAAATTTCCCCAATTTTTCGGTTTCTTAATGGTAGGACACAAATATTACTTTTAGAGTATTAAAGAAGAGTAAAACCTCCGTGTATAAGGAAAGTTTTGTTGAAAAATTTGGAGCTGATTTTAAGAAAATGGTGTGAAAGTGTTTGTGAAAATGTGAAATTTGAAGCTCTTTTTCACAAAAAGCTTTTTAGTTTTTGAAAAACTTAATTGGAAATAATGTAAAATTTTGAACTGAAATCTTATTCAGTTTTTGAGAAACTTTGTAAAACGTAATTTAATGAAACACGTACTCATAAATTCAATAGTGTGAACAAATTGCCACTAATGTAAATATTAACGGCTTGAGTGACATGTAAAAAAAATTTGCATTTTTGCAATTACTGGAAAAAGAAAAAAGAATAGAGCAATGTGGCATTTATGTCATCTTGTAGACTACATTTACCAATATCCCTACCAAAAGTTAAAAGGAAAAAAATTTCTAGTTTGTTTTTGAGAAAATATTGTTTTTGTTATTTTTTAATATTGTTCATATTGCACGCAATATTGCGTGAAAACTACTAAAAGTTTCAAAAAAATGTACATGACCTTGATGAAAGAACTAACTATTGAGTAAAAGTTTTACTTCAAGGGAAAATCTGTATCTTCAATTTTGTTATAGTAGGAATTCATCAAACTAAATTTAAATTTTTCACTTTTTGAACATTCAGAATTATCAGTGAAAAATGAACCTATGTCATCTCTATAAGTGTATTTTACTCTATTCTTTCAAAAAATTAAAAAAAAGGTTTGGAGCTACTTTTGTGAATTTTGAAAATGTCCATGGGGCTTTATGTAAAGAACACTCCAATTTTAATGAAGTTTTTTCAAAATCGCAAAACTTTGAGTGGAGCCAAATCTATCAGAGAATATCAATTTTTGAAAAAATCGTATGTATGGTTTAGGTGCTAGTGATGCTCAAAGACAGACGGACAGATGGATGTAAGGTAGGATGTTTTAAAAAAAAAACACTTTTGGTATCAGGTGATCCCAAAACATGTGTTCCCATTAAAATCTCGGAATCAATTTTTTACAGCATTATATAACTTTCTTTATTCTACATATATTACTTCATATATGCATACGTATATGAGAAAGTAAAATTAGACTACTTAACACTAGCATGACAGGAGCCATCATTTTGATTGTTTGAAGTTTTTTTTCTTCTGTGCCTGAATTTATTGATTTATTTTTATGATATTTTGTGACTTAATATTTGAGGAAGTTCTCCAAAATTCTGAAATATAATTGTAGTGTATAACATATTAGTTTTGGAGATAATCCATCATTCTTAATGGTTTATTTTCAGTGATGGGTAACAGTAAAATGAATGTTCATGCATTGAGTGTCAAATAAGATATTATAAAAACAATAAGTCCAATGTCACTTGTTGCGGGTGTGGAAACATAGTTTTTGGCAAATAAATGTCACGAAGAAAGTAATTGACTGTTTGATTTGTAAGCTAAAGTAATTAAGTATGTATGATTTACTTCAAAAATTGTTTTTCATTATTGTAAAGTGTATTGTAAGATTTGATTTATAGCAAAGGTATTTCATAATAAAAAAATAAAATAATAATTTGAAGCAGTCATTGTGACTTGTGGATATTACAGCTTCACCATCTTTCTAGTGTTAATTTAATCCCCAATTCACGCTTTTTAAAGGACAGTAAAGAATGTATTCTAAAGGAAATTGAAAGGCAAGCAATGCAAGTGGTTTATGCGAGATATGTGTGTCCAAAACTGAATATATCAATAAGAGACCAAGAAATGAGGAAAGCAGGAAGAAACTAAGCAAAACAAATACTGTAAAGGTTGATAATAACTGGTGGCAGCAAAACTACAATATCAGTGACATTTAGAATAATGGTACCATGCTTGTTATTCCAATTTTGCACTTTTTAATGGATGCAAATTATGAAGAACTTGTTTTCTGAATACAGGATAAAATAAAAAGTATATGAGCTCATTAATGGCCATTTTTATTGTAATTTTTGTCTGAATTCTTGAAATATCCAGGCTGTCCAGTATAGATGTAATGCTGCCAGTTGCTTCTGCAAAGTATGATACTTCCATCTGGAAATTAGGTCTTTGAATTTAGTTTTTGGCATTGTTCACATTGATACAGGCACCGGTGTAATTCTAATTTATTTTGTGATTTTTTTTTTAGTTTAGTGTGTGCACGTCTACGACCACAACTTCTTGAACGTACTCTGGCAGAATTGGATACAAATTTTCGAAGTTATTCCCGGGCTCTTGTGAGTTTGGCTTGCAATATGCATCGCACACGAGAACTTCGTTTGCTCTTTATCGAGCTTGTTGAAAGATGTTTGGAACCTTGGCGTCTTGCTAACTGGTCACTAGCAGATCTCCGAAACTTTCTTGCTACTTATACTCAGTGTGCTCTTGAAATGGATGTTCTGAGGTATGTTTCTTGTTGGGTTTTGGAATTATTATTCAATGCAGTTGTATGAAAAGTTATGCAACTCAGTGTTTTTAAATGAAATTTTGTGTATAGAACTGACATTTAATTTAGAAAAGCAGACCTCTCTATACTTGTTCTCCTTCTTATTTGTTATTTTGAAATTTCTTAGGATATAATGTGTTTATTCATGTGAAATGTTTTGAATAACATTTGTACAAACTTTAGACTTTTGAGAGGATTTGCATAGTTTTAAATTTAAATAAATACTACTACTTTTTGGTTTCTTAATTTTCATTTTATCTGTCTGATCCTGTTTTGTGAGGAAGTTATTTGAGTGCATTTTAATAATACATATAATTTCCAGTTTATGTTATTATCTTTTCTGATTAATTAATGAATTGACAAATTTTTCATTTTAACTCTACAAGTTATACATTTGCCTTTTTGCAGGGAAGCTGAAGTGAAGAAAGCATGGGAACGTTACATGAATGTCATAACAGTGTGTGCATTGCGCATGTACCATACGTAAGCAAACTTTTTTTTTTATATATTGAATGGACATTGGACATTCTTAAGTGTTTGTGAACCTAGAATATTTTAGTACGCAAGTGCAATACAATGTGTTTATGTGTGTTTTATGAATGTATAGTACAATTTTATATGAAGGACAATGTTGTGTGCCACATCTTCCATATCTTATGTGAGAGTGCATTCAGTGCCTATATTTTAATGTAAAGAATAATTTTATCTGGAAATCCTTTTTTTTTATATATAAAAGGCATAAAATGTCTTCAAATGTGAAACTTTTAACTTGTCTTATGTCTATTTTCTTCTTTTCATCTTTGTGTAAGAAATGTAATATTTGTCAAAGGAAATTAATGTGAAAATAGAAATTGTTTACATTTCATTAATTGTTACTCGTAAATAATTTTGCTTTGCATGAACTTATCAATGTGTTGGTTTCTGAACAACCAGTTTTCCTTCTTATTAATGAAAGTTTTTTTTTGATTGCTTTAAAAATAATGCCCTCTATTTTTTTATTTCCCTTCTATGTGTTTCCATTTTTTCTCTTTTCTATGGTTTTCAATTTCACTTTGCAGATTTTTCACTTTTTAAGAGCACAGTCTTTGGATGAGTAAGTGTCAGAAGTCCAATATTGTTTGAAATGTAAATTATGAGTTTCTGATTAAATATGTGACTAAAGGTAGGTAATAAATGTGTACATTTCAATGTATAGGGGCTGTCAAGTAAATAACAAACAATCTTATCAATTATGAAAATGATGCGTTTATCCATTAACAATTTCCATTCATATTCTCAGATTTGCTTACTATCATTTTGTTTTAAGAAAAAATTATTCATGATGCTGTGATAAAGTGACTTAATGATTTTATATCTTTTTACTTTTTATATCTTTAGAAAATGAACAATTTTTAATGGACATGTGTGGATTCTTTCCTAGAAATGTTCACGTTTGTTGGAATCACAGTATTAGATTTTGTCAGCTTGTGCACCAAGTAAATGTAATAATGTTTTGTTAGCTAAGCTTCTACATTATTATTGTCTTACAAGTTGTACCAATCTTCTTTGTGCTTGATGCTTGAGAGTTTTGTTGATGTCATCAATGGCTTTGTCATGGGGAAGCTGTTGTTATAGCTAGTCAATTACTTAATCTTTGTTCCACGAAGTCGGAGTGAACAAAGGCAGGGGTAGTGCAAAATGCACCTTGCTGTGGTCTTATAGCAAGCATCTGGCAACAATATGTAGTAATGTTGTCTCCTGGGAGGCTCAGCTTTCACGCACAAAGAAAATTGATATGATATACAATAGTCAGGATGGGATCAAAATGTGAAGTAGCACTTGTTTGAAGGTATGCGCTTTCTTCATTGGACATGTAATCAATGAGTCATGTGTTTTTATATATTATTATAATTTAAATAATTGATTTTGAATGTTAGTGATGTTCATTTGACAGCAACTATAACCTAACTCTTGTTACATGAAAGAAGGGGAAATGGTAAGCATTATAACAAGTAAGTACAAATGTACCAGCATATCAGAGTAGTTCCTTCTATTTAGGTGTAAGAAAAAACAATTCATCAACATATTTTTCAGTACTTTGAAGGTGGTTTTATTACACCTTGGTTTCTTTCTTTGTTTTCAGATATTTAGCAAGTTTTTGAATGTACAATATCGGTTGCTGGCCTGCCCTGAAACTTTTTGAAAAGACAAGAAATATCCAAGATATAGCAGACCCAGCATTTAGATGGCCCTGACATAACCTACTTTCGAAAGTGTGATTGTAAAATTCATTGTATCTGGAAAATAAGAATTCAACTAGACATGCTGATAGTTTGATCATACTGTGCTTGATGTACGTAACAATGAACTGTGATTTTGTATTAATTTTCAATTGATAAATATATATATGTATACATATTTCTTGAAGATTTTCGTGTGTGCATGATATTGCACCACACCAGTATGCAAAAGGTTGTAATAGATTTTAATCTTTTTTTATTTTTATTTACTTTCTTTGTATCAGAAATGTAACAAAATTCTTTGTAACTTGTGCAAGATATGAAAAAATGTGCGCAGGTATGTGTTGATATTGAGGTGTTTAATTGTTTGCATATTGGTCTGTTGTTTACTTTCTCCATTTCAGTTGATGAATTACAGTACTTTTGAATTTCATTTGATGAAATCACTAGTATCGCAAGTTTTCGTGAATAGTTTTCCCAACTGTAAGGCAATTGAGGTGCAGAACAACCCTGCATCTAATGGCAATAAATTGTGTGAGCTTAGTGAATATTGTGGAAACGAAAAGAGATGTTTAGAGTGGTGTCATCTGCAAAATCTTGTTCCTAACTGTTAATTGTTGATTATGCATTGAGAAGACTCGATGTTTTATGCTAATTGCGTTAGCTCAAAACTAGTAACTTGGACAAGCATAGTTAAGTGTCTAATTACATTAACATTTTTGAGGTTATTAATATAAAACCATTTTACTCCTTAGTATTTTTGTAAATGCTTACAAAAATACATCAGTTCTGTTATATTGACTAAATCAATCCACACTTTAACAATCCAAGAGCTTGGAAAAATATGGGGTTGTCTTGTATTTACAGATTAAGATTTGTCGGTTAGGATTTGTTTTTACATTGCCATTCCATGTTGTGAAACTTGTAAATGTTGGTGTAGCAATAAGCTGCGAAGACAATAAAATTAGTATGTGAATCTATAATACGTAAATATATTTGCGGTCATATTCTTGGTATCTGAATAGAATTTAGTAGATGAGTCAGTCTGATATTTTTGAATGGGCCACTAAAGAGAATCTCAAATGAATGGTATTGTATCAAGACGGACCCAACTTTAAAATGAAAAAATCATTACTGAGATTTTGTTACACATTGCGCAGTGTGTTGCCATAAGGATGGTAATGGAATTCAGGACATGCAAAATACTTTTCCAAGCAAATTTGTAGTTTTATACAGCTAAAAGTATATGAAGTAAATCCTATAACAAGGAAATAATATCTCAAGTAAACAACTAATTAGATCAAGATAAAGTATTTCAAGGTATTTAGATAAAATATTAAAGCATGACTTTCATCAATGAGTCCCCCAGTTTGCATTCCAGATTCTCATCCACTAACACATTGTGAGATAAAAGGCATCCTTCAACTACTTCATTAGTGATTCTGGATGCGTCAACTTCTAAAGTCATTAGTCCTGTAAGTGTGGTGAATGTTTTATCACCGGAGGTGACGGTGAGCTTCCTGCTGGATGGCAAAATCACCTTTGCGGGAATAATTCTCAATTGGGTATCTCCTACCAGCGTGGCACTGCCCCAGCTGGGAAAAGCTCTAAGCACCCAACAAGTGTGATTGTGCATGTGTATGTAAGGGGTGAGGACAGGACAAGGAAGAGGAAGGAAAAATAACACGCAGAATATGCCTCACGTGTATTCCGGACAGCCAAGTACCCGCGTGGTCTACCACACCACACACTTACTTGTTCAGGGCGATTGCTTCCTGGGATTTGCAGCTAAGCGTTAGCCTTTATTCCCAACCCTTGCTAGCGCACAAGTACGATGACAGGCCCGTATCTGGGTCCCGCCAGAACGCAGATTACCCTCCTTAACTTTTCCGTACGATGCCTGGGTTGGGCAGCCCTGCCAGCTCAGATTTCCTAGCTATGCAGTCTAGACTTCTCTTAAGCTGCTACTACAACAATCTACTTCAAAGCTTCTATTTAGAGCTATTGATAATTAATTACCAACATTTTTTTCCCCTTAAACTTGCATAATTAATGGTGAGCTAGCTTAAGATTAAGGTGGCCCACCACTTTCAGTTACCACTACAACAAATATGCCATCTTGTAGAGCAAGTTTTTACTACTTAATTACGCAAACAATATTATAAGTGGTCTTCAAACTTCCAAGTAATTATTGGTGAACTTGCCCGTAAGATTTAAGCTGGCTTACCACAATCTGTTAACACAAGCCACCATTTAGATCTATTTAATTGCTATTAATTACTCAAAAATTAATTTATTGCTCTTCAAACTTCAAAGTATATGTATGTATGTAATGTATATGAGTTCAAGACTGGATCGAGTTCTTTGCATGCCACAGGTGTCAGACCAAAGTGCTGAGATATTTCACAAATTTTTAAATCTATTCTCAGGGCCATTCTCTATATCTGACAAGCCTGATCCAAATGTGGCCAAACTAATGGATGATCTTGCAGGGAAATTTAACTTTTTAAATTTAATTCCGTTTAGGAAATAACTTTGTATTACTGGACGCTTGGGCATGGACCCGATGAGACTTGTCATTATCTAGGCTCAATTGATTGAATGAAGTAATTGAGAATTCCATTAATTACCATCGATTATTAATGATGTAAGAATTTAGATATTAGGATAGAATTAGGAAATAATGAACTATTTGTAGTATGAAGTCATTTCAAGCACTCTCACTCTAAAATGCAAATGTGTTTACAAATTGATGGAAGTGTGCATATTAAAGGAGTGAAAGATGTTTCAAAAATTTCGTTTGTGTAATTTTTGAAAAACAAAAGAATACAGTAAAACTAATTCTATGTCATCTTAAACAGTGCAATTAGCACTATCCATTGCAAAAATTTTAAGAAAAAATTTGGCACTAATTTTTAGAAAATGGCATGTCTTTCTAAAAATGCTGAGTTTTGTGCTCATTTTCACACAAAACTATTGAGTTTTCATGAAACTATGTGACATTAAAGCACAACTCAAATTAATGTGAACAAATCGCCACTAATGTAAATATTAACAATGTAAGAGATTAATAAAAAAATTACATTTTTGTAATTTCTGAAAAAACAAAAGAATAGAACAGTACAGTGTTGTATGTCATCTTATAGAGTGTATTTAGAACTATCCCTACCAAAAGTTTACAGAAAAAAATTGGTGCCGTTTTTTAAGAAAATCTTGTTTTTGTAATTTTTTAAAATTGCAAGTATTGCACACAATATTGCTAGTAAACGACTAAAATTAAAAAAAGAAATGAACATAAAAGTATTGAAATAACGAGAACAAATTTTATTTGAAGGAAACATCTCTAGCTTCAATTAAGTAGTTAAAAGAAGACGCGAAAAAATTTAACTTTTGCAGTTATGGAAACTTTACCGTGAGAGTTAACCGTGAAAGTCTGTCCTATGCCACCTTCATAAGTATACTTTATTCTTACAAGAAATTTAAATAAAAAAGCTGTTTTCGAAAAAATTTTGAAAATTTCCCAAGGACTTCATGAGTTAGCTTTTAGGTTTTTCTCATGATGTTCCCAACTGCTATCTATTGGTGGCTAAAAGACCTAGTCGCCCCTGTCGTTGTACCTATCGCTCCTCTGGGAAAATTGACAGGGAGGAGTATTAATCGTGCAACTTATCTTGGACGATGACCTTGCTCCCCCTCTCTGGCAGAATAAACAGATGAAATCAAAAGCTCGCAGCGAGCAATGATGACTTTCCAAACACATCTTCACTGGCGCGAAATAGAAACAATTTTCTTTTGAAGACGAGACCTTCTATTCGTTATTTTCTCAAAAAATCTGAAGAAATGATCGAAGCAGGTAAAAATCTATCACAGGAAATACCTCGAACTCCTGAGAACGTTAGAACGCAAATTCTTGAGAACGTTGCGAAGGCATGACTAATTCTCCAGAGACTGTCATTGCTTCATAAAATCTAGCGGCCGATTTCGTAACTAATACCCCATCACTACCCGCATTTCTTCAATCCATCAAGAAAAGTTCGCGAGTAATACCTCCGCGCTCCCCAAACGCCGTATTGGCCTACAGCGGCCCTGCGTCTCGGTTGTAGTGCTTGGTCCCTTCTCGAAGTTGTACCATTACTGTGGGCGTGACTGAATGCCCCCACGCCACAAACACAAATAAAAAACATTCGTTCCTTAAGTGATTTTCGAACACGAAGGCTTTGTGAAAACGTACATGGACACACTTGAGGAAAACCCTGAGTCATGATGGTCATGAAATCTCAGTCATTGATTGAACACCGGGAGAGATGGCTCAGTGCACGTCATTGCAGTGTCTCTGACCGGAAGGTTCATAGGACCAAGGCCTGACAGTGACAGGATTTTCGACACTAGCTAGATAGCTAGGACGATTTCAGTGGCTGTCTGGAGGAGAATTCTAGAGGCCGGCTGCTCTGATCGTTAGGTTTCCGTGATTTCTCCGATCAATACCTGGCGAATGTGGGACAGGACTTAAATAAACGGGCCACGAATCAAGTGCGATTTTTTCTTCCTTTTCCTTATCATATCCTCACCCCTTACTTACACATATTCACATTTACATGTACTACATAACCATACGGATGCTGAGAGACCGGTCGGGAGCTTAGAGCTTGACACTGCTGGGACGGTGCCCCGTTGGTGGGAGACACCTGGTTGGGGAAAACTCCGTTAGCCTACGCTTAGCTTGGCGCCGGATTTCACCTCCGACGGAAAAATATCACTGCCGTCTTCTAAGAAATAAACACGCTCTACTCTTTCGGGACTAATGATCTTAGCAGTTCACGCCCCCCGAATCACTTATAAAACAATCAATTAATTAAAAAGATGACAATTATTTTAAACACTTTACGGTTATGTAACAGAATAATTTCATAATAGTATACTCCTGAACGAGCGCAGAAAATAGCCATTATGTGCGAGTAGAAGTCAAATTTTTCTCTACGACCTTTAACTTTTCAGAATACATTTTGAACAGATTTGTTGTTATTTACGTCGGCAAACACGCGCTTAGCTCCTTAGCAACCATCCATTCAACGCTTTAAGAGCGCGTCCATAGCAACGGCCTTTAAAATGCTCGAGTCTATTAAAAATATTGTAGCGGACTCTCGAGTTTAGACTTACCACTGTTCATAAATCTTTGGATAAATATATCCCTTTTGTCCCACTTGACCTTTGTCCTTTTTGTTCAATTTCGTTCATTTTCCATCATATCCCATTGGCCCCACTTGTCTCATTTGTCCCGCTTTTCCGTTTACCCTCTTGGCTCATTTTGTCCTCTTGTCCCGTTTTGTCCAGACGTCAATCTTGTCCCATTTTGTCTCATTTGTTCAATTGTCTCATTTTGTCCCCTGTCCTATTTGTTCCCTCTCCCATTTGCCTCTTGTCCAATTTTGTCCACTGTCCCGTTTCCCCTTTTCCATTTGTCCAACTGTCTCATTTTTTGCATCTGTCCCACGTCGTCCTCTGGTCGCATTTTGTTCCCCTGTCGCATTTTGTCTCCTGTAGCATTTTGT